CCAATCTTTTTTTTTTTAGAGCTAATGTGAGAAACAACAACAACAACAACTTCGTATGTTAAATATATAATATGTCAATGTCACTTTGTCAATGTGTCAATGTTTTATGTGTCATGTGCCATGATGCCGGGGTGTGTTTGTGACAGATCTCTGTAGCCAGCCATGACCACTATGTCTCCCATCTCACCGGCCACTAGGGGCACCAGCAACACTGCAAGCACCTCAACCCAGTGTGGAAAGAGGCAGTCAGTTTTGCTGCTGCTGCTCTTCCGGACCAAACTAATCTGTGTCGTCAAACTCGAGGAGGGGCCGCTCCAAGGCAAAGCGCGGGGAGTGGGGATGATTTGGCACCCACAAGGAAAGGGTGTGGGCATTTCTCGCCTTCTTCGTAGTACCTTGGACGAGAAGGGAAGGGCCAGATACCACATGATTGCGTTTGTCGACAAACCCATTTGTCGTCAGTCGTACAGCGGATAGTCTGTCTGGTACAGTCGACCCCGCTTTAAGGACGCTCGGGTTAAGGAAACTCCCCGCTTGAAGGAAACTTGTTTAGCTGCTTCGGGCCTGCAGGCCTGCGGGCCGCTCTTTGCACGAACCACGCGCCACAGAAGTGAGTGCAGAAGTAGCGACGCACAGACAGCAGAGGTAGCGAGCGGTCTGCTGCTGCAGCCGCAACTGGGTGTTGCTATGGATAGATTCCTCCCATCTACCACCGGCGGTCCATCTGATGATGCTGCAAAAAATAGAGTCGTGCATAACCTCGTCCCTCACCGAGGGCGAAATCATCTCTCGCTTGGAGGACGTTCGATCCTACAGATAGCGCCCGCAGTTCAGAAACGTCAAAATCGGTTCGAGCCTCAGCAATGCCTTCTTTTGGGTCGAAGTACCGGCCCAAGTCGTCAATTTCGTAAATAGCATTTCTTCTTCCTTTGGACTGCTGTCGCATCCCCCCGATTCTCTTATTCCTTAGAATACAACAAGTACTTCGTATCTTTTCTCTGTCTTTTGGTCTCTGACTGAGGACAATCCACATCATCAAGCCCTCAAGAGAGGTGGTGGAGAGTGCCATCAAACCCGTACAACAGCGGAGAGCATATGGTTGTCCGCGATGTGTAGCAGTACTACTACTACAGCAGTACAGCACTCACTGCTGTGAACAGCATGGGCGCGGAGGGGGGGCGGGGGGGGGGCTCTGCCCCCTACAAAAAAATGCACTTCTGTTCAGCTTGGGAGGGGGGTGGGAGCACCGCAGATTTCTGATGCCATGAGGGTATCGCACCATCACGTTTCTTTTTGGAGCGTTTCTTACGTTGTTGCGTTGTGGCCGAGATTGAGCTAGACTATGTTTCTTAGCCCTTTTTCTTATTTTTCGTACAACGTTGAGCCTTTTTTCTTGACATTTTTCTTAACTGCGGGCGCTGTTTGTATTTGTATGCGAAGGGAAGGGGTGGCGAGTACCGTGAGACGCAGTACCTTCTTTCGAAGACCGTTAATTCGTTTACTCATGAAACTCAACAGAGCCGTAGAGCCAAGCCGCGGGGGGAGGTTCAGGGAACTCTTCGCGATATTGTGTGGAAGGAAAAGCCATCAGGGTAGCTTTTGGTCTCCGCCGGGACAGTGATATGTAGACTACTACTGGTGTTCCTCGGTGCGACGCTGAAATACGCTCGTTTTTTCTTTGTTTCACAAGGAGATAAATATATGTCTACTTGGACTTTCCTCGTTCTTCCGCTACCGACTATGCAGTAGTACACTAGTTGGCCAAGTACAAACTGGTGCACTGTGGTTGTTTTCAACACGTCCCTGACTGCTGTAGTACATCTCATTTCAAGTGTTGTAAATATGTTCGACGTCAGCAAACGGTTGTCAGTCGTCTCGCCGATGCTGACTTTTCGTACCACCCCCTTCCTTAGCAAAAGACGCGTAGTTTGAGGTATAGCATGCCTCCATTGGCCCCGGGGATGGTGAGTTATCGTCCCCTGAATTTTAAGGACGCGACCCCACTTCATGGTGCATTTTATCAGGAAAAAACATGAATGAACGTCCTTACAGCGGGATCGATTGTACCTGGTACATAGTGTTCGAGTTGCCAACGCTGTCTCCTCCACTTCGCGCTCCCAGCCCACCTACAGGCGTGAACTTCTCCGTGTCCGTTCGTGACTGCCTGGTTATATGGGGCGTGCGGGCGTGCCCTTGGCATCATCTGTCTTGAAACCATCAAGTTTGGTGGGGCGCCTCACTTGTAGTCCTCGCGAGAGCGCGCCTGGCAAATATCTGGCTGTGCTGCGTACCGTACAAGAGAGCTGTGACCTGCCCCGACCTGTGTGTAGACACGCGAGGAAGAAGGTTTCACTCGTGCACAGACAGGCAGATTGCCAGCCTACTGCCCTCTAGAATTCCAATCGGTGTGTGCCTTTTCCTTGTCCGCCACGCGGCGCAAAGACTGCAAGAAACAGGCAACCAAGGGAGAAGATGAATATCTCACGAACGAGTGCTTGTTGTGGGGGGTAGCAATCTTTCCGCAAACAAGCAGCGAAGCACACGCGTGGTGTGCGTGTGTTTCGTCCTCATGTCCAAGACGAGTTGACCCCTCAACGACGCTACTGAAGCGCAGTGGTAGGCCCTTTCGGGGAGGCCACCTAGTACGCTGCGCTTCCCCGGCAGTAGCGGCACCACGTCGATCACCGTTGACGGCAGCAGCAGCGGCCGCTTCCGCAGGCAAGGGCCGTAGAGCGGGTAACTAGGGCTGACGGTACTACCAGCAAGAGTACCTGCCGAAGCACCAACACGACTAATCACACCGGCTAGATGAATGACAGGACCATTCTCCTTCGCCGTACCACAGATCGATACCGCGCCGCTAGTAGCATTGCCAGCAGCATCACCAAACTCAACTGTATTGCTGACAGCAACGGCAACAGCATCACCACATCCAATTGAAAGCAGTACCACCAACCCCAAGCTGTGTTCCTCGACCACAGCAACACTACTTCACACTGCCAGCAGCATCACCAAACTCAAGTGTTTTGCTGACAGCATCGACGACAGCATTACCACATCGCATTGCCAGCAGCGAGTCACCAAACTCAAAGTGTTTTGCTGACAGAGCATCGACAACAACCCATATCACTGCGACGACGCAGGGGCACTAGGGCCTCCCACCGAGGCGAGGGAAGCAGCGGCAGCGGGGACGAACCTCGAGGCAACATCGTCGACGTTGGGCGGCGGGCCACCGTCACCGACAGGGGCCGTTGCCGCCTTCGTATCGCTACCACCGTTTCCCGGCACCTCCACGCCCCCCTCCGCCGCTGCGCTACTGCCGCCCCCTTTCTCTTCCGCCGTTGCTTCCCCAGCGCTCGGAACCGGCACTATCTTCCCCGACTTGGGATCGACTTTCACAGCCGTAACGTCGAGGCCGGGGTTCTTTTTCTTCTTCTTGCCCTTGCCGCTCACTGCCTTCTTCCTCTTCGGGGCCCTCCTGCCCCTGCTGGCATGTACGGTCAGGTGGGGGGGTACCACCGAGACCCGCACCAGCCCGCCGTGCCCCCCGGAAACGAGGACGCAGGCTCCGGGGCTTGAAACGGCCTTGAAGGAGGGGGCTTTCTCCTGGGGTGGTATCCTGACGAGGCGTGTGCAATGCTGGAAANGCGTACGGATGACAGCTGCGTATGGCTTAATTTATTTTCTGGTGATTTCACTTCCTGAGACAGTTGTAATCACTCTGCAACTGCCTCGAGGGTGCTTGATCATTTTAACACAACGTGGTGCGATCATCCCCCTTGCGCGGAGTGAGGGTCCTCCACCCCGCACATGATCTACTCGAACAACGTTATGGTTACCGCCGAAAAAAAAAACGGTNCGGGGTTCTTTTTCTTCTTCTTGCCCTTGCCGCTCACTGCCTTCTTCCTCTTCGGGGCCCTCCTGCCCCTGCTGGCATGTACGGTCAGGTGGGGGGGTACCACCGAGACCCGCACCAGCCCGCCGTGCCCCCCGGAAACGAGGACGCAGGCTCCGGGGCTTGAAACGGCCTTGAAGGAGGGGGCTTTCTCCTGGGGTGGTATCCTGACGAGGCGTGTGCAATGCTGGAAACAGAGGGGGGGGAGGGTTCGGGGGAGCCGGGGATGAAAGTTACGTTGCGAATGGAGAGCTGGCTTAAGTGTTGTTTAGAAGCAGATACGCTACGCTGTGGCGGGGGGTGGGGGAATAATCATCGAGAAGAGAGGGAAAGCGTGCGATGGGCCGTGAAGCATCGTATTCCACGACGCGGACTCCAGGCGCACCTCCCAAGACCGAGAGGGTGCCATCTTCGAAAACATGGAAAGGCCAAGGTCGGCGCAGAACTAAGTAAGCCCGGGCAGCAGCAGCAGCAGCAGCAGCAGCAGCTAGCAGTGTTAAACTGTAGCGGCGCGCTGGACGACGATTCACCAGAGTAAAAACTGTGGGAAAGCGCCAACGCCGCCATGAAACGATGTCATACCAAGAACATCCCCGACCAGTCGACAAGCACATTAGGCTAGACCCACAGCAAATAGACCAACCAAAAGTGACGCGACGAAGCAAATCACACCAGAACCAGGCCACACACACTCAACCGGACAGCAACACCGAACAGCGTCGGAACCCTACCAGAAGACCGGAGAGCGGCGGCATGGCCTCGTGCCACTTGATCGCCAGGAGGCCCTCCGACTCCGCCCCGGTGAACACACGAAGGTACGGATCGGCAGCCGTGCCCCCGCCCATCGACGGCGGCCCCGCCCGCGCTCCCGCACCCACGGCGCCCAGCATCCACGATGTTCTTGCTTGTGCCGCCGCCTCGTTGAACCTATCCACCTTAGCCGTACACCACGGGTCCCCCTGGTCTACCAGACGGTCACCCGGCCGAACGTACTGCGGGGAGCAACAAGCCGGGGGGGGGAAAGAGGGGGAGGGGGGGCGTTGCATACCTTAGCGGTTGAACCATTGACCTCGCGACCTCGAGAGGACGGGGATCGGGTGTAGATCTCTTTTTTCAGTCGCGCTGAGGCTGGCGTCTATTGATTGGTCAGCCAGCCAGCGCGGTCGATGCGAATAGTTAAACACGCGAACACTGAATATTTACGTTTATTAATTGGTCAGGCGGTGAGCGCGGCCGATGCCAACAGCAACCAAAAATACACACATATACACATCTCCTGTTTTCACCCCCACAAAGACTGGCGGCGTCTATTCATTGACCACCTGGTTAGCGCGGTCGATTCCAGCAATAAAAACACATACATGTACCTCGACACGGTGCATGACCCGATGCTCCAGCAGCTGCAGGCGCTGCGATTTCTTGGAACCCCTGCACTGCCCCGGGAAAGCTGCGGCGAGGTGGTGGTGCTGCCAGGGCGCCACTTCCCGGCAGCGGGCAGCCGACACGCGGATCTGTCCGCTGGGCGCCGTCCAAGCGGCCAGGTGAATGCTCTGCGGTTGGGAAGGCGACACGCCAGAGGCCGAAAAAGCATGAACATACATGGGCGTCCCCTTAACGAAGCACCGCAGCTCATGCGCTGTTCCCCGAAAAAGATGGTGCCTGTGGCGTCAAAGGCATCCCACATACCGTGGTACGTGGCGGTATGGTTGGCATCCAACGACCGAACGTGTCATCGACCAAACGATCAACCATACACACACACCAACGAGTCTTCTTTTCTGCGGGCATCTGTCCCATCTATTCTAGCTCGCCCCATCTGATCCAATGCCAGTCTACACATCTCGGCGAAAAAATGACGTATCGTCCGGGGTCAGTCACACAGACAAAGGGAAGTTAACACAAGCGCGTTGTATTGTCTCTGCTCCACGGTCCAAGGCTGGCTTCATTGACAATTCTGAAGCACATTCCGCGGCAACCAGATCGACATTTTGCAGGCTCACGTACCCTTCACCGGGACGGGCAGCGCACTCATAGTCGCCGTTCAGTCGAGACTGCATACAAGCGATGGCGTTACCGAGACATGACAGCGGTAATTTTGAGCACAAGGAACAGATACATGGTGTCACCACAAGGAACGAGCCAAGGTACGATTCTCTCGTATCACCACCTGTCCATGGTCTGGCTGGCCGGGTTTCCTCATGACGTCGAGGCCGTACGTGGCATCTTCCAGCGGGACGACGTCACGTATGCCCCTGCCTTCCTGTACAACAGCCGGCAGATTTTCCGCACCACCGCCTGTTTCTCCGGAAAAGGACCAACAAGAACGGAACATAAGAATTCGTCAAGCGACAGAGAGAGGAAGAGAGAGAGAGAGAGAGAGAGAGAGAGAGAGAGAGAGAGAGAGAGGAAGACAGATGGAGAGAGGGAGAAACGGAGCGGTGGAGAAACGGAGAGACGAAGGGATGGGAGAGAAAGGTCACGATGTATGTGTAGAAGACAGACAGACAGACAGACAGACAGACAGACAGACAGACAGACAAACAGACAAATAAACTGATACTGACTGATGCAGACAGGATACAGACTGAAACAGACAGCAGACAGACGGCAGACAGACGGTAGACAGAGGGCGAAAAGAGAGAAAAACACAAGGTGACAGACACACACGACACAAGAACATCGTGTGTGAGGAACAACGTACTTTCGTACAATGGAATTCAGGAAGGGCCAGAGAAACGCGGAGTGAGAAATGGCGCGAAACAAGGCAATCTAGCGTTTCCTAAACCAAAACACAAGCCTTCGAGTCTTGGACCAAAAAACGAGCATTTCCTTGATGGCGGGAGAGCTTGGCTTGCTGCGGCAGCATGGGCAGCTAGCTGCACGCAGTGCCGCCCTTCACGAAATCACTGAGAGACGAACTTCACGCGGTACAGCACAGGTGAATACCCAAAACCAACGACAATATCGTTGTCATGCTACACCACTCCCCCTCCCTGTCCAGATTCTGCGGACCCCCCCTTTCCCCGCAACAAAAACAGATGCAAAAGAAAGGTACTTACGGGGTCCTTTGGCCGAGAAGCTCTGAGTGGCGTGGTCGCGGTACAAGACCTCCCTTAGTGCACCTGAAGAAAACAGGAAACAGAGAGACCAGCAAGAAATGGGGGTAGGTAAACGATTGCGCATCATCCTACGGTACAATTGTGTTTTTGCCCTGAACAGTAGTGGGAAAGGAGAATTACAGGATAAAGGATAAAGGACAGAGCGATTTTCAATGTGAAGACGACAGCAGCAACAGCAGCAGCGACAACAAAAACGAGAGCGAATCATCGCCGCAAAGAAAACGAGCGCAAAAAATCGAAGACCGAAAAAAAAAGTCTCACCTTCGAAGAAATCCAAGAAGAAGAGGAAAGGACGGGTGCTCGCGGAGATCCAGATGCCGGAACTTGGTTGGGTCAACAGATCCGCACGTTTCAAATGATCCGCGCATGCATGCATATGGTCATTGATCAGTTTGTGTAGCACCGACACTCTCACATCCCAAACGATAGAAGGGACTATCAAGGGACAACTTGGGTGCACAAGTGTAGTTGATTCATGTATCTCGTTCGACAACGTCACCAGCAACAGCAGCAATGCCAACAACAACAACAACAACAACAACCAAACCTCACCCGCCAGGTCCCCAGCGCACGCTCGTCCCCGAGCAGCGCTGAGTCTTGACCGGTATCGAGCACAGCGGCTCAAACACGTCTGACGTGTCCCACACCGTCAGGATATGTCCGGCGCCGGTGGTGGCAAACAGGTTCGGGGAGGTCGGACACCTGTATCGGAGCGGGGGGGGGACGGGGGGACGGAATCAACCACTCCACGAAGTGATGTCATTCATGATGCTGCTCGAACAAATCTGGTCTGGTAGTCTGGATCAAGAGTTGCAGGCAGAGGGGCACTACTTTTGTGAGATTAAAAACCTGACTCACTCTTTGTGTGTGTACCAAAACGCTTGTGTCGTCGGGGTGTAGTCATGCTTTCCAAGCCTGCCTTCGCGGTTAGACCATTGACCACACGTCTCC